TCTTCCGGAAGACCTAGATGCTGTACAGCGCAACACAAACACACCGGCAAGCGGTACAACAACAGCAAAAAAAGCGGCACGCAGCAAAGTAAACCCCTCAACGAAAATAACGAGCATACGGTTGCTGCACATTAACCCACTCAATAATAACGACTCCATGACAAAACAACCGCGGGTGACAGGCATCACGCGTGTAAGCTTCTGTCTGCTGTCCAAACGGTGAATTCCATTGCAACCGTGAACGGAACCTGCACAAACATTGGCAAACGAGTAAAAGCCACGTCCAACATTAATCACACGGCGCGTGACACCGCGTCCCCGCGGGGACCCCGGACACACAGGTGAATAACGCAGAGCAAAGCGTGGCGTGCCCGTGTGCAGACGCCCCTTCTCCAACGGTCGGAAAACACCAAGCCACGCTGGCCTGACGCATCGTGGCGTTCGTCCACAGAGATGACGCAGCAGGTTATTAACGCAGCTGGGGGGAGGGAGGAGGGCGCAAAGGCACCTCGCACACATCCGTGGCAAAAGCCATCTCGGCGAAGCGACTAACCCAACCCACCGTCCACTGCTCACAGGCGCTGGGAAGTAAAACAACTATTCGGGTGCCCCAGAAGATGAACCACACCTGTCAACCCCTGATCAGTGCCCTACCTTAGAACAGACCAATTCAGACCGCATTGGTCACCCCCGTGCCCCTTATACATCTCAACGTTCATCCTACAAAGTCCCATCACAAGGGAGAAACACAAAGGCATTTTTTGCCCGTATTGAAACGGTTGTACGCCGTATGGATCTGAAAACTCTATTTCCCTATAAACGAATACGGCTAAACCGTATGGGTTGACAGGTATGATGAACGAACACGGACATAGCAGCAAAGAGCGACGCGCTGCCCGATGTCCAATGCCCGTTATAAAATAGTACAACAAAAATAGTACTAACGGAGAAACTCTGCGGATTTCTGACCTTAACTTTTAAAGTGATTGAAGACTCATCACCCATGCCATCTGACACGGATGTTATGCTTTACCAAATATTTTCGAGAAATATAACTCTCTCTGACGTATGGATCAGAAGCGTGGCCGCTTACAGAGAAAACCAAACATTTGGAACTGCACGAAGAGACTAAAAGAGGAGCGCAAGGGTCAGGGGAAAAAATTCCAATTCGAGACATCGTTTCACCGTCGTGAAAATTAATTGGGATTGGGCAGGACACAAAGCAAATTTGGATTTAAAGCTTTCGTGACTGCAGGGATTCATATTCTTGGTTCTTTCGGTAAAGTCACGTAGAAGGGAAATAATAAAATAATAAAAATAAAACATCTTTTATTATTTCCCTTCTACGTGACTTTACCGAAAGAACCAAGAATAGGACACAAAGCAATTGGTGGGCTATTGGGCAAGACTTTGCGAGGACATCACGTGACTGAGAAGACGAGTTTCGATTTAAAGCTTTCGTGACTGCAGGGATTCATCTTCTTGGTTCTTACGGTAAAGTCACGTAGAATGGAAATAATAAAATAATAAAAATGATAAAATAAAATAAATTATTTATTGTTTTATTTTTATATAATAAAATAAAATAAAATATTTTATTATGTTTTATTTTTATTATTTTATTATTTCCATTCTACGTGACTTTACCGAAAGAACCAAGAAGATGAGAAGACGAGCCCAACGGAGATGAAGCAACCAGATCCGTGCAGGTGGCTGTGGTCCCTCCAGACCACTAGGGATTGTGGCATCGTAGGGAGGCATTTATCCACCAGTGGATAGACAATGTCTTAGGGGCCGTCCATAAATGACGTCACGCGATTTTGGACGATTTTTGACCCCCCCCCCCCCCTTCGTCACACGGCGTCACAAAAAGTTAGACCCCCCTCAAATATGACGTCACAAAGCTCTGCCCCCCCCCCCAAAAATAAAAAATGCTTCAAATCGCTTTAAACTATTGTCATTGTAGTGCGTATTTATTGTAGTGCGTATTTAATGTGGCGCTGCACTCTAATGTTGTAGGAGAAAACATGTATTAAAAAGTCTATTTAATTAAGTAGAACGTGTTGTCTATATTTATTAAAAGTTGCGCATTTTGATGTGACGTCACATTTCTGAACCCCCCCCTCCCTCGTCACACAGTCACAAATGTCTGACCCCCCCCCCCTAGGGTGCGTGACCTCATTTATGGACGGCCCCTAATACCTTTGATAGCTTCTTCGTAATGATATAAAGAAACATTGCCAAAATTAGGAGCCAGTTGTTCTCCTCATTCAGATGTCAGAACGGCATGGCGAGTAATACTAATAAATGCTTCTTCACGATATTTGTTGAGGTCAGCCTCACCGTGCCTCAAGACATTGGGATATCTGGCCTTTCCCTATCATGCGATTGGCATTGCGTGCGTAAATCGGAATACAAATCTGGGGCGAAAAAAACACACACACGGAAGGCAATACTAAATGTGTGCAAACAAAAAGCCAATAACCCATTGCTACTTTTAAAATAAAAAAAACTGAGTTTGACCAGTTCTTAAACAACAAAAACAACTGTAAAAAAAACACAAACCCACATGAAACTATTTCAAAGACCCACTTGAGATATTAATTAACATTGAAAAATGTCACTCCAAACACAAACGTGTGAAGACAATAATTTTTGAGGCTGCTGTCACTTTTCAACAATCGCCGAGGTCAGGCCCCCCCCCCCACCCCCATATGCCTTTAAACCTACGGCCGCATTCGAGGGGGTGAAGCTGTTGCAAATTACATGGATGTTTCAGCCTCCGGTGAGCACAGCAGTGGGGCTCTGTTTGGCGTCTGTCAGGGCGAGTGGGAGGGCTGTGTGTTTGCCGCGTGGTTGGTGGTGGTGGTGTATGGTGGGCGGGTGGGTCAGTGGTGGAGCCAAGCTGGTAGTGGGTGGTGGCGGTGGTGCGGTAGGGGAGAGGAGGGGGTGGGGGTGGTGAGGCTGCTTTATACGAAGACAGCAGGCGGCCGGGCTGAAATGGCGCCATGGCGAATTGGCGGTGTTGTTTGGGGTCCTTGTTGCGGGGTCTACGTTGCGAGGAGGTGCACGCTGACCGATCGTATGTGGCCAGGCGGAGGGCCACCCGATCGAGGGGTGGGTGCTGCATGGGTGTGCGGGGGGGGGGCAGGGATGGGGGTGTAACAAGCCCACACGCCTCTTACACCCTTTTGTCAGAAAACTGACAGAAGTAAATTAGCCAAACGCGCTACGCGTCCCATGTGTGGGGTGCACGCGCGCGCGCCTCGGGAACCGTGCGAGACCATCTTCGAAGCCACCCAACAAGGAGGATGCCAACGCAGCGTTTTGCACGCTCGTGCAGTGATGCTCTCTCTCGCTCTCTGTCCGATTCGCACGATGTCCGACGTTTCGCTCCGAGTGCTGTGGGGCATCTTCGGGAAGTGAAGCGAGCAGCCACATTTCACCCTCGATCGTATCGCACAATCCACCTTCTGACGAAGCTCCCAGCACACGGAGTGAAATTCTGGATTTGAAGCTTTCGTGACTGCAAGGATTCATATTCTTAGGTTTTTTCGGTAAAGTCACGTAGGTAAAAAAATTTAAATTAATAAAAGTAAAATAAAAAATAAAAATCACGACGTTTCGGAGGCAACACAAGCTTCCGTCTTCAGGTGGAACCGTCACAGCACGATAGCTGTATCAAGTGATACAGCTGCCTCCCCGAAACGTCGTGATTTTTATTTAATTTTTATTTTACTTTTATGAATTGTAATTTTTTACCTACGTGACTTTACCGAAAAAACCTAAGAATACGGAGTAAAATGTCAGGACATTGTGGTGAACATGTGGCATGTCCTGAAAAAACATGACTTCACAGTCGCATGCCTAACGTTCAAATCCAAAGATGACAGGCTGAATAAAGGTATCTTCTGGAGAACGCAAAGGTTGCATGCTTGTTGACAGTGCCGGCTTATCCTAGTAGCAAAAGTAGCTACATATGCTACGGTCCCCGCACTTGCAAGGGCCCCGCGCTAATTGCTTTCAAGCTATCAATGCCAGTTCAGTGATTCTGCACTTGCTCTATTACTATAGTACTATACTGCCTTCAACTTTTGTGAACGACTGAGTGTTTAAGGTTAGCGATTTGTCGTATTATCTGGCTGTATAGCAAATGGAAAAAACACAATTACTTTACCGTTAGTAAAAAAATGTTTATATTTACGTTTTTTTATGTACGACTCCTTTATAACATATGCTACAGGCCCCGCACTAGCTTAATCCGGCACTGCCTGCTGCCCCCGAATCAGTTCGCACAAATGATCTCAAGGAGCATCAACGATCACGCGAACTCCGGTCATCCTCGGAGCGGCTTGTGGCGGAGCCATCGAACACATTTGGTCGCTGCGTGGCGCGCGTTCAGATGCGCTTCGGCGGCCGTCTGGAACGCTCTTCCTTCCGATATTAGGAAGCCACTGGAGCTATGCACTTTTAAATCAACTAGATTGAAAACCTTTTTCTTTCGAACTGCTTTTTGTTTTGTTTGTTGTCCTTTCCCCGCATTTCTGATTAGCACGGACGGCTACGTGCAGTGCGAAAGAAGTTCAACATAAACACACACACAGAGGATCATGGTTTGAGCCCTATAAATGTCTGGCCATGTTACCAGAATTAAAACGTGACGTTAAAAACCCTGGGATGTCATTTTGCGGGGTAGTTGCCAACATCCAAAATATAAACATGTCTTCAGTCTTGCTTGTACGGCAACCAGGGTCTCCCGAGTTTGACATGTCACCGCTAAGTGATCCCCTCGCCTGGTTAAATAAAGGAAATTGAATCGTAAACATTGTAATGGAGAAGCGCAAAGCACTGTAAACAACACACTGAGCATACACATCGACAGTTACATCGTAGGCAATGCTTACCTGTGTCAAAGAGACGAATTAGACATTTGCTTTCTCCGTTTAATTTATTGAATGACCTCATTCAAAATAGCGAATAATTGAAAACAAAACACTCAATCCCTTAAAGAGCACTTTATATCGATATACATATGGCAGCCTTGAGAGAGAAACAGAATTCACACACAGACCCAAGCACAGTAAACAAAATGCCAAATATCATCAAGGCACTCAAAATATAACATTCGCCACACCAGGACATTTCCCACCAGGACAGACGTACATTCACCACATTGACAGTTATATATTCCCATTGCCAGTTTTTTTTTACGCAATTCCACAAGTGCATGTTATGCACTTGTGATCGAAACCACGATACAATTTGTCTTTGGCGTAACAAAAAAAAAATGGAAAAATAAATGGCGAGCACGAGGTCACGTAACGTTGCGTGCCGCCAGCAAGCACGCTCGTGCAATTCATCTTCGCGTTACAACGCGCCCCAACACGTATCCCAGGTCCGGTCCCCCCATGTCCATTGGGCACCTCGGCTGTTAAGAAAGCACGGAGCAACATTTTTCGGGGCCAAGCCCCAAAAAGAGGAGCCCGTTAAACGTATTTGCCGAATAAAATCCCCCCTTTTTGAAACCGTGCAGCAGCAGCAAATATTAGCACTGCCGTGCGAGCGCCGATATTGACCTCCGGAAATCTAACGAAAGCTCCCTGTCGAGCCTCCACAAAGAAGCGGGGCGAACCGTCGGATCCGTCGGTCGGCCGCAATTAAGGACAATCGGTCATCGGAAAGGCCGGGAGTGGAGCTCGAGAATGGGCGGGGGGGGCCTTCCAAAGACGTCAACGAACGACTCCAAGAAGTCCACCCCGAGCCACCACCCGCCCACGCAAGGTGCACGGTACAGGCGGTGGGGCGGTGGGGGGGGGGGGTAACATTTGGTGCGCACCTTAGGAGGATTTCTTTTATGAGACGCACCGGGGTGGAGGGGGGGTTCCTGACGGCGGCGTTTGCAGCTCGCCCTCCCGCCCCCCCCCCCTGCGGCTTCTCCGTAGCCGAGAATTTGACAGCCGACGCCTGAAGCCTGGCGACATGGCGGGGTTACAGCGCACGAAGAGAGTCGAAGGTCGAGGTGCAACCAACCCCCACGATTTCGTGCCAACGCCGCTGCTGGCGGAACGGCTTCTGCTCGAGGAGGCTCGAAGAAACCCCCCCCCCCCATCTCTGGAGCGCATTTTGGCCTACTCTTCCGCGCCGGCCAGACCTCTTGGAATTAATGCGGAGGTTTACCCACACTTAACCCCGCCGTACGCAATGCGGTGTAAGCATTCATTTATTTCGCCGCGCGGACAGAGGCGGCGGGGATTGGAGAAACGCGAGCCGTTGTTTCACCTGCCGTGCCAGCAAGCTGGTCGAACCGGCGACCTCTGGATTTGCAAGTCGAAGTCTGCTGACCAATACAAAATGAAAAAGTAGTGCGTTTGTATTCACGTGGTACATTCGGTCACTGAAAGAGCCTTGGAAAGGCATGCTCAAGTTCTCAAGTGCCCGTTTGCCTGTTTGGTTACTGGGCGATCGCTGTACGTCTTTGTGTACCGATTTGTTTACCGATTCATTCCCTTGCTCAACCTTCTCAGTAGATGTCAGCTCCAAACACAATAGCAACCCTTTTTGACTGGAAAAGACAATAAACCGGTTTAGTTCATCCATTTTACACCGACATGTCTGAGATACACACACCACCTCCTTTGACGCGGGTTGTAGGCTCATATTTATTTTGAAATAGATGAGCGAGAAGAATAAGAAATTGAGCTATGTTCAGTAACATTCCCAGTGTGTGTTTTCCCATTTCTATCCAATTTCTGATAAAAAAAAAAAAGAATACAGCCACAATCACCCAATTACGGTGGACGACCCTCTCCAGGTTTAATATGTTTCTGCATCAAACGTTCAATTTGGCCAATACCCTGAAATATATTGAAGCTACGCTTTAACAAAAAGTGAAATGGTACCCCACTTCATAATTTCCCACCTCTTCCATCGCCTGGCACATAGGCCCCTCCGGCCCATGGACTCAGGTGCAGTTTCACCGCCTCCCCAGTGGATTCCATACCAACTTAAACCCACTGTGCGATGCTAAATAATTTCAGACTCATAATTTTCAATGTGGAATTATAATTAATTCTAATTATTATAATCTCCCAGCTGTGGTCGAAGGATCCCACATGTGAAATAATCCCTGTGCCCCAACTTGTCGCGAGTGGTTTAATCACGGCCTAACGTGATCAGTTCAGTCAAATGAGTTTTACCAAACCGGTTTAATTTCTTTCATGCGTCAAGGGTTAATGTTCCAATGACTCCCGACGACCATCAATCACTAAGGGTCATACACCATTGGGCACGTCTAGCGAATACGCATCGTATTAAGGATGCTGTACATAAAAGCAGAACAACCCAAGCAAGATATGTAGTGCATTTAATTCACATTATCAAATGTAAACCAACTATTTATGTCAATGATGAGACACTCATTAGATAGACAAATTAGTAAGTGCAGGCTGGAAAAAACAACAAATACGTTTCCTATTGCAGTCGACCAATACTCCCTGAGCCTGTGTGGAAGCCTGCGATGATGTCTATTATTCCAGCCAACAACAATTCACGACCAACAAATGCTGGTTGCGATAAATGCCACCACACGTTCCTAGGCTAGACCCACCAAAGCACAATTACAGACACACACGGCCGAGCTGTAAGGCGGCAGTGGCCTTGACACTGCAGGCCGCTGACAACTCAACAGCCTGGTGAGGTTAATTATCAATTACAGGAGCACTCCTCTTATCCGTGATGTGGGGGGGACAAATATTGCAGATCCTATTATCTGAGATGTTGCTAAACTTATCTACAGGAAAACTTCGGGTAAGCTGTGGGTAATTTGATGACATTTTTCCATGCAGCTCTACTTATCTGCGCTTCAACATTAGGAAGCAAATTCTAGATTTGAAGCTTTCGTGACTGCAACGATTCATACTCTTAGGTTTTTTTGGTAAAGTCACATAGGTAAAAATAAATAATAAATATAATAATAGAAATACAATTTGAAAATTATAGGGTTAGGGTTAATAGAAATAATAACGGAAATAAAATTCGAAAATTATAATTTTATCTCTATTATAATTTCTATTATTTTTATTCTTATTATTTATTTTTACCTACGTGACTTTACCGAAAAAACCTAAGAGTATTCGGAAGCCACTAAGTAGCTATGCACTTTTAAGTGTCGATCGAAAACTCATTTACTTTAGAACTGCTTTTTGTGTTTCGTTTGTTGTCCTTTCCTCACGCCTCAGATTAGCACGGTTGGCTACGTACGGTGCAACAGGAGTTCAACATACATACATTAAATGAGCGCTTGATTGGAAGCCGTTCCATTATGAATTATATTATAATAAACTGCGGATAATTGCCAAAAAATTGGAAGAACGGAGTGGCTAATAATATCAGTTTATCCCACAACATCCTCGGATAATAGGAGTCGTGGGAAACACGGGAAACGGATAAGAGGAGTCCTCCGGTGTACGTCAATTACCGCGTTTACCGCGGCCACCGGGCACGCCGTCGCAAGCCGGGCTCAGTGCGGGGGGCCCTTGCCAGCCACGCGGTGGATCTCGGCGTTCTCCAGCAGCTGCACGCTCTTGGACGCCGGCGTGACGGCCACGTTGATCATGGCGCGCACCATCGTGTCCACAGGGGTCGTCATGAACGTGGGGAAGAGGGCGGCCAGGGGAGACAGCGCCTTGCGAGCCATCCACTCAGCAGGGCGCGACTCTTTGCGGTCACACAACAGTACCCTGGGGGGTGTGGGGTGGGGAAATCCGGCACAGGGTGGTGGTGTTGTGGGTTGTTGAAGTTTTTGCGCCACTGCCGCGGTTCTTAACCCTTTCCCATTCCGATGATGTGCATGTACGTCATCGGTATTTCTTCCGATACAGTTCTGATGACGTATGTGTTTTTCTTCCGGTTCGGAAGTGTATGTTAATGGAACGGAATCGGAAGAAAACGAAAATAAACTAACTTTATCGGTACGTCTTCAGGTTGGAAAACGTACCGAGGCTCCCACAATGCCGTGCGGGAAGGGCGTGTGGCACAGTTTGGCGCCAGCTATGTTAGAGTGTGGTCATATCGCTACAGTTCTCTGCAGTGAGTACAATGTCTTTTTTCTGCTGTTATTTTGCTGCCTTGCCCAAGCTTGAGAATTGGGTGTACTTATCCAATTTGAACTTACATACTTTATATATTTTACGGATTTTAATTTTTTGTGATTTGCTTACCTTTCCTATACTTTGCACTTGTATCGTTTCTTTAATTGTTTGTTGCTGTAACTTTCTCACTCACCCCTACTGGGCATCTGTGAAACAGAGCTTCATAGCTCATCGCATTTCTCCAGGATAAATACAGATTCTGATTCCGATTGCTCTTCAGCATCACGAACAAATACTCATCACCTCCCCTGAAGCGTTTGTCATGCACCACTGCGAGCATCTCAACATGTCCCCAGTCGTGCGTGGCAGAAGCTCGCGGAAATAAATGCCCGACACATGGCCCCAACCTGGGAACACCACTCTCCGATTATGAGCATCTGGAAAAACCTTCGTGCCAAATTAGAAGTTTTCCTTCTTGTCTTCTCTCATCTTCCCTGGTTGCATTGTCAATGTCTGCAAACTGTGTGAGATGTCAATCTAAGTGAACTCTGCTCATGAATCCCGTTCCCCGCGCGTCACGTGAACCAACGCAGCACCACTGCAATGCGGTACCACACATGCTGCGCGATGGATGGGCCACGCTCTGAATCCCAGACAGCGCCCTCTATTGGATCAGCCGGAAAACCCCATCCTGTTCTACGCGGTTCTCCATAACCACCCGTTGACCTGACCAAAACCATTATTTTACCACAATTTGCAAGAACCTTCTTTGAAAGAGTAAATAGTCTGAATGGTACAGATTTTGTGTAATTATACAAGCCAAAGTAATGAATAATACCAGTAAGATGTAATCGACAGCTAAGAGACCATTTGTAAACAAAATATAATTTTCTCACTGCTGTCACTTATTGGGACACAGCTGTAAAGCATATACGTAGATAAAGGAGCAGCTCTGCAATTTCTTCCTCACACCACTGCTGGCAGAAGGGGCCTCCACTACAGGGAGCTCTTGAGAGCCCCCCTTGAGGGTATTTTGGCCTGCTCTTCCACACTGGTATTGGGGTGCCACGGTGGCTAGATGTTAACTCCCTCGCCTGGTATTCAGGAGGTCGTGGGTTTGATCCCAACCCTGGCGGCTGCTGTATATTTGGAGTTTGCGTGTCTCTCTCTCCCCGTGTTCGCGTGGATTTTTCTCCGGGTTTTCCCTCCACATTTGGAAAGATGCATTTAGTGTATTTGGCTGCTCGAAATTCCACATGATAAGCCACTTCGTTGAGCTATCATTTGTCTCTTCTGACAAAGAGCTACACAGCTCGGTTGGCGTTAACCTGGTAAAATTAAAAATAGTTTTTGTTCATTTATTTATAACTCAGGAGGAATCCGATGAGCTATGAAGAAAATGTTCACTAATGTCCAGTAGGAGCACGGGGTCAGGACGTTATGCAGAGGTCGCAACCGGGTACCCGATACCCGTACCCTACCCGATACCCAGCTACCCGTACCTGGCCGGGTACGGCCACGGGTACCCGTTTGCGACCCTGGTGCGGCCGGGTACGTTTGTGACCTCTGACGTTACGCCAACAAACACACACAATACACAAACACGATAGGAGTGCAAAGTATTGGAAAGGTAAACGAATCACTTCGTCCAGCTATCATTTGTGATAGCCAGTTCGCTTCTGGAAAAGAGCTATAGAGCTTAGTGGACCTTACCTGGTTACAGAATAAATTAAATCTTGATTTGAAGCTTTCGTGACTGCAGGAATCCATACTCAAGGCAGCTGCCATCGTGCTGGTTCGCAGCAGACATCGCGGCTATCGCGATTTTCACCTGAAGACGGTGGCTTGTGTTGCTATCGAAACGTCGTGATTCATTGTGTTTTATTTCTACCTACGTGACTTTACCGAAAGAACCAAAGAGTATACGTAATAAATCCTTTAAAAACTATAGTTTCTCAATGGTAAGATGTCTTGGAGAAGGTGGTGGGAGTACCCCAGACTTGACCCCATGACACGTGACCTGCTGAGTGACTGTGCCATACCCATTTAGGCTGCAGCTGGGTGGAACAGGGGTGGGAGTATTTAAGAAACTTGGCCCATTGTCTCAATTACTATTCTCGAGGGATCGAACCGGTGACCTCAAGATTGCAAGCCCAGTGTGCTAACCATAAAACCATGACAGCATCCCTCCCCCATAGCAACCTAAAAATACACTGGGAACTGAACAAGTGAATTCAAAGTCGAAATGCATGAAACAGGAGTGTCAGGGCAAGCATTGTTTTGCGGAGGAAATGAGGAAGCTTGTGTGTCTATAATAGACCATTCCGTTTTTATCGCAATGCCCCGTGTGACACTTACGCGGGTCGATAGACGGTGTATCTCTCAAAGTCCAATTTGTGCACGTCCGCTTCGATCTCGCCCTGCGATAAACAACATCAGAATCAGAATATGTATTTATGCAGGAGGAATCCGAAGAGCTATGAAGCTCTTTTTCACAGATGTCTAGTCGGGGCGGGTAATAACGTTACAACAACAAACAATACAAACACACGATAGTTGTACAAAGTACACGAAAGGCAAACAACTCATCCAAACAAATAAAACCAAACCATCTCTCTATCCTGACAGGCAAAACTCACCATGGCGTTCCCTTATTTTTCAGAAGCAACTTGGCCACTACTAACGATAGCTCAACAAAAGTGGCCCATCATTTGGACATTTATAGCAGCAAAATAATCTAAATAAATAATAAACATAGAACCTTTTCAAAGGCAAAATTAACCGTATCCAACACCCGCCATCAAAATGTCGCAGAAAGTTATTTTGGTGTAGCACCAAAGACAACGTCCAACTATTCCCGTTTGAAGAACTGAATACAACGGCGTTGGCACGTGCGGGAGCATGGAAGTACATCACAATGCTGGATTTTGCTGCAATGCCCTCTGCTGCCAACACCGCAGCGCCACACTCCGAACAACACGGACGATACCAGCACGGTCCTCCGACGTCGTTTTCCGGTTTGTGCCACGCGTTTGTTTCTGCACGGTGTCCGACGTTTCTCTCCGGGATCTCCTTCAGGAACCGAACCGAACCCGAAGAAGCTCCCCGGCACGTGCAGCGAAACGTCGGACAACGTGCCGAATGCGCGACACAACTTGACAACAACATCGGAGAGAGAGCCACGCGGCGCGACCAGCGAAAAACACGGCGATTAGCAACGACGGTGGACTGCACCGCGCGTCACGGGCAAATCTGTGCTCACCTCAGAGGTCGCAACCGGGTACCCGATACCCGTACCCTACCCGATACCCGTACCCGGCCGGGTACGGGTCCCCGTTTGCGACCATGGTGCAGCCGGGTATGGGTACAGGTGGGCCGTGAGTCACTGGTGAGTCACCGTTTGTCACTCATTTCCCAACGTCTTGTCTCTTCTTACAATTCAAGTTCCTAGAATCAACCCACCCACGCTTGCAACATGGCTTCATCCCAGAGGTCGCAATCGGGTACCCGTACCCTACCCGATACCCGGCCGGGTACGGGTAGCCGGGTATTGGGTAGGGTACGGGTATCCGATTGCTACCCTGGTGCGGCCGGGTACGGGTAAGGAATCAAAACCCGTTTGCAACCTCTGGCTCACCTTGACCTTGGTGTAGAGGAAGCCGCTGTTCTTATCTGCACCCTTGGAGGACTGCAGGTTGAAGTGCGTACAACCGCCCGCCTTGGCCAGCTCAGCCGACTTGAGCACATAGTCGTGGTCCACGCGCACAAAGCCATCCTGGACAAACACGACGCTCAACGGCTCATCTCAGGGTTGCTTGTCGAAGTACATCCGTACGTACGTGTACAGACCGTGCGTCAATTTATTTCTGGATGTATGTATGTATGAATGTTGAACTTCTTTTCGCACCGTACGTTGCCAACCGTGATAATCGCAGGTGCCTGTCAACGCCGTTGCTGCCGCGGGGGGATATTTTACCGACGTTCGCCATGCTGGTCAGTGCAGGTTGATAAGGACAGGACTATTAGATGTGGGAGCGCGGAAGTACAGCACAACAACGGATTTTGATGCACTGCCCTTTGCTGCCCAGAATGTAGCGCCACAGCCTAATACACCGGTTATGTATGCGGATCATCTAAACCAGAGTCATACAGGCTCAAGCTAGCTTAGCTTTCGAGATCTGATGAGACAGCGTGTATTCCGGGCTACTTGGTGATTTTGTCAATATCGTCCTTTGAACTGCACACAAATGGGTCTCTGTATGAAAAATTAGTTATGGTTCTCCTATTGGGGTTATCATTGTCATTAAACACTCATATTACGCTGAACATTATTAAATGCAACCATCGTACAGGAATAAATGCATAGCATGCTTCTCTGTTTGTCTTTAAATGCCCTTTGGACTGGCATTATTCTCAGCATTTGTTTGAACACTCAAACTCTGCACAGGCATTGACCCTCTTCAATGCCAATGTGCAATGAGGCTTGTTAAACACTTATGTGTTTCCAGATGGTATTGGCAAGGGCACTCCCTCCTCTTTGCAGAAGCACCACCCTCTCTATTCAGCACACCAAGCTACATTTCATAACATCTCACGTGCCATTGTCAATAATCACTGTACTCGCCACAATGCTCCACGTCATCACTTAAGGGGTGCTTTGTACAATTCTGTGATACCTAAGAAAAGGTACAACCCTGCAATTTCTCATCCACGCCACTGCTGGTGGAAGGGCCTCCACTAGAGGGAGCTTTGGAGAACCTCTGCACGGAGGGTATTTTGACCTACTCTTCCACGCTCGTCAGATGTTTTGTACGAGTTGGGATTAGGCACAATTTACCCCACCTGCAGATCAACTAACTGTGGTGTCTCCATTTACAATAATGGGTGGAAAAGAGACGAGGGCATTTAAGAAATCTGAACTACTGTTTCAACTGCCGTGCCAGGAGATCAAACAGAATTGTCGACCTCTAGATTGCAAGCCCAGTGCCATAACCATTACTCTACGGCAACATCCTCCACAATCTTGTACAACGGTAAAATCTTGCACGCAAGAATCTTCAAGTGGTTCAAACTAGCAAAACGACCGACCGGGTTTCTGGTCTCAATAATAAATCGTTAATCTTAATTATCCACACAACACACAGCTGATGTGAATAAACCTCAAATACATTTGTGAAACAAATCTGAACAAAGCAAATATTTGTAGCATTTCGCTATCACCCTCCAAATATTTAAAAAAGAAAATATGAAGCTGAACAATTGTAAAACTTGGCACATGACACAACTTAAATCCCAAAATACAATGTTAATTAACCGAGGGACGCAAGTTGGTCAAACTGCATTTGACTTGTGACAAACCTGTTTAAACTTGGCATGCCAATTTCCACACTCACCATTCTGCATTGGAGTCTTTCCATGGGAAAATAATGAGGCCTGACAGCAACGCGGCACTGGTGCCCAAACACACTCGAGCGCCGTGATCGGGCAATTAAATCCAATTACCGCTGCACAAACAGATTAAAAGGTCAGACATTGTGACCGTGCTATTGCAGTCGTGTTTTTTTCTAAGAAATGTGAGAGTAATAATGATGATAGCTGCCAGCCTTTTGTCAATGCCACGCTAGATGAGGGCCTGCCCCCACTGCTGCGTCGGTCATGGTGGTTGTTTGACCATACTTCACCACGTCGGTCAATGCTGCTTTGAAGGCCGAGGGCCAAACATGATTCAGACATCACTTGCCACCGATGTTAACTGTGGAAATTGGCTGCTGGTTTCAGAGCCCAGTGTGCTAACCACTATAGTTGCAAAATAACGTGAAATATGAGGTTATCAAATACAACCATGTAAAACGGTTTGACAATGTTCTAGGTGGTGTTATATAAACGTGTATTATGATGACGAGCTTCCTCTGTCATATTCAAAATATTTGCAACAGCTTTGAAATTTAGCTGTTTACTATGCAGATTAGGGATGGAATTGACCCCTCTCTTTCCCAGCGATGTTATGAATTGACAATCACACAAATCAGACTTTTTATTCATACTGGAGGAATCCGATTATCTACAAAGCTCTTTTTCACAGATGTCCATTCAGGAGGGCGATTTTAAATGAACAAAACTAAATGTTTTACATTGTAGTTAATAATAGCACCTCTAGTGGTTGCTAGGGTGACATACATCGCCTTGGCAAACATTGATGAGTACACACATGAATCGGTGCACGTACTATAAGCTCAACAAAAATAATAAATGTGTATACGCATACATACACATGCTTATGCTTTTAACCCATTGATATATTGGCTTTCCAGACCAACATCACACAGCAGCATTTGCTTAAGTGAGAAAACTCTGGACCGGTTTCGGCTTTCTTGGTCTCATCGGCAGAATCAGGTTTGTTAAACAACTGTTATTGGCGAGAGCACTCCATCAAAACTACGACGGCCCCTGTTCAACGCATCGCGCAGGCGAGTTTGCATAAATCGACGAACTGATGGATCGCTCAACATCTAGCCCGGGGTGCGAGCGTCCGGGCAGGAGATAGAAAAGTGCGCTTGGCGGATCTCACTCACAGCTCCGGCCTTGCCCCGCGTTGTCCCGAGGCAGCAAAAGCCGACGTCGTGACCTTTGAAGGCGTTGGCGTAGTCGTCCAGCTTCTCAAAGTCCACCACCTCCTGCACCTGCAGCGCCCACCAGCAAGCACAACAGCACATTCAATGCAACTCCAGCTGGGACGATTCGTCGATTAATCCGATTCATCGACTATAAATTGTAACAGACTACATTATTTGTGGTTAATACCTCTCAGGCCCCTTTAAAGATAAAGGCCGTCCTGACATCCTGCCTTTCGAAGGCAGGAAACCTCCCTATGAGCCATCCCGGAGTTTATTTTGATGATGTAACGAAGCAAACCCCATCTCGTCCCATTTGGCGGGTGCATCCCAAGCGGTGCAGAGAACGTTGATTAAAGTTACATTTCTTGACACATTTCTTGAGAACTGCTTTTTGTGCATAGTTGATTGTCCTTCCCCCCTGCCTCCGATTATCACGGTTGGCTATGTACGGTGCGAAAGAAGTTCAACACACGCACATACACGTTAATAATGATCGCTCTCCACGTCACGTGCGAGCAAGTAGCGACTTCATTTCAACTTGGACGGCGACTGAGCAACGGTGACACATTACACGCGGCCAGGACATTTCAGCCAGGTATGTCCGGGTAACTCACCACGCAAATAAAATGTACGTGCCCGGCACACCTCTCGCGACGGTGGCTGTCGCTGTCAGCCACATGCCTGCCCCGGTCTACCAGCGACCCGTAAAGCACTCATTGATAAATTCAAATCTGATATGTACAGAAGAACTCCTCTTAACGACCAACCCTGTTAACGACGAATCGCTTTTTGAAGGGCCTCTATAGAGCACATTGTGTAGTGTATACTGTGGTGTATAGTAGTGTATAGTGTAGTGTATAGTAGTGTAGTGTATAGTAGTGTAGTGCCTCCATAGAGCCGAATGTGTTCGCTTACTGACCATTCCCCTTTTAACGACGAGCTGTTGTAGGTACAGTAAATATTAATTAATGCATTAACCATGTTATTCATAACATTATGTCTTTATAATGTTATTAGTATATTTATGTATTAAAAACCATTGTTTAAACATAATAAAAAAAAAATGGGTGAAAAAATGGTAACTTCCGATGCTATCGGAACAAATTAAGCCTGGGACATGCATTTCCCGTACTCGCTTAACGACCAAATCACTTAACGGTCGGTTTCGTGGAACCAATTACCGTCGTTAAGAGGGTTTCTGCTGCAAGCACGCCAAACTTCCTTCGCACCGCACGGAGGCCAACAGCGCCAATCGCGGGGTGCGAACGGGGCGGATCGTCTAACCGCGACCCACCACGTCCTTGTAGGAGTCGTCGGGGAACTCCAGCTGACGACGCCCGATGCTGGTGACGCGCGAGAAGAGCCGGCTGTTCACGATCTCCCGCAGGAGGACGCTGCCCGTCTCCCCGGAGGCGCCCAGCACGAAGCACGAGCGATTCTGCTTGCGGAAGTTCTCCCGGTGGCTCTCCAGCTCCTGCTCCATCCTCCTGTGGATTGATCGCACGGCTTGGTAGTCAGCCACATTGTGGACAATACACCGGTAGCATTGATTTAAATTTCGATGTAAAGCTTGTGTGACTGCAGGGATTCATCTTCTAGGTTCTTTCGGTAAAGTCACGTAGAATGGAAATAATAAAATAATAAAAATAAAAAAAATTTTTTTTTCCATTCTACGTGACTTTACCGAAAGCATTGATTTACTGAAGGATTTTCGGCATTCTACTGATAAGTCTTCAGCTCCCACTCCCCATCATCCTCTGCATACACTGTAATGGGTTGTCACGGTGGCGAGATGTTAACTCCCTCGCCTGGTATGCATGAGGCCGTGGGTTTAATAGTTGGGAGTTTGCATGTTCTCCCCGTGATCGCGTGGATTTTTTGGCCCGATCCTCTGTTTTTTATTCTTCCATATTTAGTAATTGGCTGCTATAAATGTCCACATGATAAGCCACTTCGTTCAGAAATCATTTGTGGCCAGCTCGCTTTTGAAAAAAAAAGAGCTACATAACTTAGTGGGCCTTACCTGGTAAAATAAAAAAAGGTTTACTTGAGTTTAATGTCACACTGCAATCAAACGAATTAGCGTGGGGCTAGGGTGGTAAATGCATGCTTTGGGCACACAATAACTAAGGGCGGAACAAGAGTTGCTAAGAACATAACATTACAAACGAGAGGGGTCCAAAAGGGCCCAATCCGGTTCGTTCGGTTGTGAGTTGAAGATCGATTCTAGGATCTCATTGAGGCATTTCCCGAGCACTCCTACTGCTCTGCGAATACAAAAAATGCCTCTTGGATGCGGTCCTGAACTTGCCAATTTCGAATTATTGGGCTCACGATATATATAACATCGAATCACCAATGTTTGTTGCATTCACACGTGTTGCATAATGCCCGTGTCAGAGAGCAGTTGTCGAATGGCACATCGTGCCATGCGACTGAAAGATGGTCGGCAATCTTGATTATATAACCTGATAATCAAAAACGACGCTTGGTTGAGCTGAAATAGAAAATCATGTTTCCAAAATGCAATTTGTTGTTGTTGTTGTTGCTGCTGAGAGAGTACATGCCCTAACCTGGAAAAGTGCCCTGTTTGTGACTGCGAGAAAGATTCTAGATTTGAAGCTTACGTGACTGCAAGGATTCATACTCTTAGGGTTTTTTTGGTAAAGTCACGTAAGAGTATAGTGCGAAAAAGATGTATATTTATGACAAGCACCGGGTCTCCTGGAATTTTACCTACGTGCTTTTTATTTATTTATGCGGTTACCTGCAACGCCAAAAACAAAACCGGTTTAACAACGCTGCAGTTTAACCGGTTACATGGGGACCCTGCGTTGGCAGTGGTGCACAAACACACGCAACAAACCTCGACAAAGTTCGTCAAAACACATCATAGGCGACGTTTCGGGCAATGACCCTATCTTCATAGGGTTGCTCAACTCTGACCGAAGCAATTCCGCAGGGATTGTGTGGTTTTCTTCATCTTCGTTTTAATTAACGTATCCTCTTAAAATGTGATCTCTTAGTAAAATCTCCCCAAGCTGATGCCAACAATGACCGGGGAGGATGATCGATATTATTGGTTCTTTCGGTAAAGTCACGTAGATAGGAAACAAAATGCAATTCAAATTTAAAAATACAAATAATAAATTTTTTAAATTTAAAATACGATAACAATTGTAAAATAAATTTTTAAATAATAAAAGCAAAAAACCCCACGACGATTACACTGGTCAACAAAAAAAACATTTTTTTCTGGCCAGGACTTTTGCAGCTGTTTTAGACTAATTTCAAGGTGCTGATTCCAAATCTGATCTCAGATTTGCTTGATCACATCTCATTTTTATGCTATCGGCATACCCCATTTTCATTGATTTTACCCGATATTAACTCTGTCACTTATGATTGCAAGTTGTTGCGAGTCAGTGACTGCTTTAATGTTAAAATACGATGCTGTATTTTTAGGATAGCGTGTTTATAATATAATTTTATGTAGCTATCCACATTGATTTAATATTTTTCTTCTGCAGTTTTTATTGAAAATGCAATATTTGATATCTCAAAAACCTGATGTGATAGACAAAAACTGATGCCAGATTTGGAATCAGCACCCCAAAATAACATTGACACCTTATGCCAGAAAAAGTGTGTTGACCAATGTTATCGATGCCAATTCCGGAAAGAGACTACCGGCCAAACCGGAATGGTTGGGCAACCCACGCCACGCTACGCACGAACGAAGAAGCCCCATTTCACGACGTTGCACAAAACCATTTCGTTCTTACCTCTCGCTCTCGGGATAACTCGAGTCGACTTGCATCCACCAGGCCACGCAGGCCACTGCGATCACGAGCAGCGCTCCGCGTCTCCCCTCCAAGGGCGGATAAACCATGCGGCTTCTATTACAACACCAACAGCGAACGATTAACGACGAAAGCAAACGAGAGAGAGAGAGAGGAGAGTAATAGAAACGCTTACGAGCGACACAATAACGCCGCTGCAGTAAAATGTTGAGCGATGCGATCACCGCAAAATCGCTTCCGCGTTGGTAAAAAAAAATATTTGCGAAGCGCGTTTAATTTTCCACGTGCGATGTTTGGCACCGCGCGCTTTCCGTAGCGCGCCGTGATTCGTTTCCCTACCTGGGCCCCACCTCCAGGGCGGGTCCACGTGGCCAGCGGTGTCAGTGGCAAGTGCATGACCCCCCCCCCACTCACCCCCTTGACTGCCGGTGGTGGGTTAAGATTTTTTATTATACTGGTAGGAACGAAGTGGACCAGACCACCAATAGATTAATGTGTCCGTCCGTCCGTCCGTGGGAGGGGTGGTGTTGAGGGTGGTGTTGGAAATGAAAGACTACGAGTCTTTAAATCTCACAGCGTTTCTTGTCAAAACAAACACTTTTAATTAACGTTACACTAGAATACAGTAATTTTTTCTTTAACTCCTCTATACCCGGTCGATATCTCTGTACCGGTACTAAGTATTATTCCTACCAGCCCACCCCGCAGGGTCGTGTTATTATTTTATTTTATTATTTTATTAAATTATATAAAAATATTATTTTATTATTTCCCTTCTACGTGACTTTACCGAAAGAACCAAGAAGATGAATCTCTGCAGCCACGAAAGCTTGAAATCGAAATTTAAGTTGGGGGAGGCTTTGATTCGTGATTTGTGGCCACCGGCATTGATGGAGCCGGTTGTAATCGCGCCGGCGAAACGTCGCTGCTCGTATTGTCAACGGCGCTGTGGAGTTTTTGGCCTCCGGACCACTCCGCCGATGGTGCTGAAGTTGGTCACTCATCGGCACTTTGTGTGCGCGTGACAAACCTCGCTAAACTAAAGAAAAAAAACGCAACTTTTTTGTTGTTTAAATACAAAGTAAGGCCCACTGAGCTATGTAGCGCTTTTTTTCCAGAAGCGTCCTGACCACACATGATAGCTGAACGCAGCGGCTTATGTGGAAATGTATAACAGCCAAATAAATCCTGGAAACGCATGTTTATTACGTGTGGAAGGGGAAAAATCCTCGCTTTCTAATTCATGCCTGTCAACACCTAATCAGTGCCTACCTTCTTACAGACCAATTTAAACCTCATTGGTAACAATGTGTCATTAATCTCAACGTCCGTCCGACAAAGTCCCAGCACAAGGGAGAAACACAAATAGACAAATATTTGTGTTGCCCGTATTCAAACGGCTGTACGCCGTGGACTTTAAAACTCAATTCACCTGTACAAGAATACTGGTAAACCGTATATTTTGTGCATCGGGTATCCGCATCTGCCATGGTTTGTGCAGTGGATGCGGTTTAGGGTGGACCGTGAGCTTTCGTGGAAGATCAAATCCAGGGATCTGCGGTGGGTCCATCACAAGTGCTGTAATGATACTTTACCGACACAGTATCACCAAGTAATTTGTTTAACTAGAATTTCGGCGGCCTCAAATATTTTTTTTTGTTGGGGGGGAGGCGGGTCGACAATTTTTGGAAATCTGTTGGATCAACTTTTTACCCCCACATCAGGGTAGGGGGAGGGGTCACTTTATATAACTTTTTGATTCAGGCTTTCTGAAAGTTGACGGACAAACGGAACACCGGGCTTTTACAATAGATGCATAAAGTACATACCTGTCAGGTCCATACGGCGTACAGCCCTTTCAATACGGGCAAACAACGTTTGTCTATGTTTTGTATTTCTCCCTTGTGATGGGACTTTGTTGGATAAACGTTGAGATGTATAAGGACACAGGGTGACCAATAAGGTCTGCATTGGTCTGTAATAAGGTCGGCAGCACTGATAAGGGGTTGACAGGTATGTAATGGTGAGTGTAAAAGTGGTGAGTGTAGTGGTGAGTGTCCTCGTGGTCAGTGTAGTCGTGGCAGTTGTCTACTTGTTTGTGTTTCTCCCTTGTGATGGGACTCTGTAGGATGAACGTTGAGATGTCTAAGGGCACGGCGTGACCAATACGGTCTGAATTGGTCCGTAATAAGGTCGGCAGCACTGATAAGGGGTTGACAAGGGGTAGTCGTAACGCGAACTCGAACCATGAAAAAAAACACCGATGAAGCTGCAGATATAATGAGTGTCCCATAGACCTGAGAATGGAAATTATTGGATAAAAAGTGCTGTACAGTAGACAGAACACATTCCTCAAATGATACAATATTCTCCGTATTGTAAGATGGCTTTGAGATTAAGACGTACACAAAATGTGTGCCCAGCATCAATTGAGATAAACATATCTGGTCCCACACATACACATAAAACACATTAAAAGATGCACCTCCAATGCTGAATTAAAATACAGGGGGAAAACGTGCGTCTTAAAATACGGTGAAATACCTTTTGATGTCTTACCGCAGTCACATCATCATTCGTTCTATTTTTTGCTGGTTACTCATTCAACGTAGCCGTTGATAGACTTGACAGCACATTCTTCATATGCGTGTGTGTTGTCTTATTTAATGGTTTTCATTTTGTAAACAGTGTACGCTAGTGCTGGATATATACGTGTGCCCTGCACAGCATCTTGATATGTTCTCGTATTCAAACACTTGAAAAACTTTAGGTTACATATAATAATTACGTGGAATGTTATAGCCGGCGTTATAGGGTTGCAGGATTGAGCGGTGGTAACGTGGTTAGCACACTGCGCTGTGAACCCGGTGAATTGAGTTAGCCACGGCTCACATCAGTGGTGGATGATATCGGAACAATACCCATGACTGACAACACGTGGGGATGCCTTCACCCATCAGTGGATTGGCAAAGGGCTATAAAATAGTATGACTGTGTTATGATACACCCATTCATTCATTTATATGTTCTCTAGACTATGGGTTCTCAGCTTGAAGAGTCTGATGCTACTTTTAGGGCCACAGCCTTTAATGGATGTAACATTTGTAAAGTTGCAGCTCGACAATTTATTGCTCACACCACTGCTAGCTAAAGGGCTTCCCCTCGAGGAAGTTCTAGGGAGATTTTTTTCTACATATGTGGAATTTAGGCCTCCTCTTCTAAGCTCCTGGCCATGCGTTTTTGCAGACGTTTGGGGCAGTAACCACACGTTGCCTCACCGCACGCGACCTGAAGAACGTCGAGATACGGTGTACCCGTTTAGTATTGCCGGGGAGAGAGAGAGGGGGTGAATTAAGACATTCCCCACACTATCACAACTGCCGAGCAGGGAGATCGAAGCGGCGGCCTCTGCATTGCTAGTCCGATGTGCTGACCATGAAACCCTGAAGTTTCTACATGCACGTGCAGAATTCACCGCGTACTCGGATGACTTCAAACTGCGGAGCATATAAAGTACACACGCGTGCACACACTTTGCAGCAAAGTCAACAGCAATAGAGGAGCAATTACAAGCGCCATCCACGGCGTCTTTTTTTATAGATCATTGCGCATTAAGATTGCCACACATTATATTATTATTGCGAGGCACTGTTAAAAATACAGCTCATCGTGGTCATTATGTCGATGACAGTTGCGGGTTCTGTGTGTTATGAAATAAAGGTCTCAGTGCGATCATTAGGAACGCGTGAAGGAATCTACTTGTTGTGTGCGCGTGTGGTCTTAACTGATTATTTCTATACAGATTATAAAGATCCATATAGAGTCATAGACCCTCTATAACTCGCCACTCCCCCTGTTCCCCACCACCCACCCCTCCCCTTGCCTCGACCTCCCCTTTTCATTAAACATTCAAAACTCAATGTGGCCAATGAGGCTTTTATTTGTGCCAAGCGAGGCAACGCGAGATTAGGAACACTTTTGGGGGCAGTTGCCCTCAAATCATTCGCCTCTCTTACAACAAACACACACACACACGGTCACACTGATGCATTATTAATGAAAGTGCTTAACACTCAATTACGGATTCCACTCTAGCTTATTAAAATAATCATGATATTGTAGGTTTTTATTTTTTACATAACGTCTTCAATGAGCAAATATCAGAATCAGAATATTTCTACTGGAGAAATCAGATAAGCTATGAAGCACTTTTTCACAATGTCCAGTAAATTCAATGACCGCATAGTTTTCTCCACATTGTAAGATGTTCTGGTAAATAAGACGCATCCCAAAATTAAGTTGTTTCCAAGTTTCAATTAAGTTATGCAAAACGAATCTGGTCACACACAAACCTAGCGGAAAATAAAACGCAGCCCAAATTTGTACTTGAAAATATACGGGTACAATGATGTCTTATAATGCCATTTTAAAAATGTGTATATAAGTTATATTGCCCCCAAAAAAACTGTGCATAATGAGTAGTCATACAATACAGTTATTTTAAGTATACAGTATATTTAAATTATCGGTCAGCTGGACAGAGACGTGGTTTGTTCAACTGTGTTGTGAACCCAGCCCCATGAGTTCGATTCCCGGCCACTGCCCTCACAGCAGTGGCTCGTGATATCTAACTAAACCAAATCTGCACACGCAAACCCTTTAACCAGCCCGCGCTGACCAACCTGGTGAAGTATGCTCAAATCAAACCGCCATGGCCCATACGGCGTCGGGGGAAGATTTCCACCACACAGCAATGGATTAACTAAAGACTTGTAAATCATTATTATTTATATAGGATACTTTCTTAAACGTTTACTAAAAGCATCCGTTTTAGTTGGCTCTTCTTACGCATGCACGAGAGTAACGTGTACGTGTGTAATGCACTGCCATTATTATGACAATTTAACCGTTTGGTAAATGGCGTTTTAAAACGGGGAGATAATGAAGCGAGCTCATAAAATGCAAAAATTGAAATCTGATTAGTCACGCTGAAATATGCGCCTTTAGCGCACGCCGGCTTTAAAAGGCAGCTTAACTAACGGCAGATGCATGGTCCAAAGACTAAGCAAGCGGGGATAAACGGATTCGAACTCATTTCGCAAGAAGCCGAGCGTCGCCTGTATTGATTTCTGTCATTCCCCATACGCAATCTTAACGCGATCTGACACATTTTCTCCCCCGCTCCAAAGAAAACACAAAGGCGACAGGTTTAAGAAGCACGGGCCTGTGTGTGTGTGTGGCTGACTGTGAG